TGTTAAAAAAGGTTTTGAGTGTTAACCCAAAACGAACATTGGGATCAGAACTCATACAAAGGTCTAGTTTATGGCACTTTTTGCCATTATTGCTCATTATTGAAAAAAACTTCCTCTCTTAATATATATTGCCCGTATGCTAGATATAAGTAGTGATGTAATATATAGAATTTTGAATGACATAAAATGTTTTTAGTTTTCTAACGGCTGGAATGATTGCTTGACATATCTATCGAAAAGTTTTAAATCAATCTTTCAAAATATTATATCCGTACGTGATAGAAAACAATCAAAAATTTTCAATTGTGAGGCTTGCTCGGATGTATTTAAGCAATATATAAGTGTCGAAAGAGCATTTGTTTGTTACGAACGACTTATAWTTGCTAAGTGTTTTGTGCCCCCATCGTTTTGTTGAAGATTGTCGGCGCCAACTCGATCGGTGCAACGGCTAGTTGTTTTTTTGTCCTGTTATTCCAGTCCTTCAACTTGATAAAAAAGGAAAGGAAGAGTTGATAAGCCCGTATTACGTATTCTGGCAAGATTCCTAGGGATTAACACTGTGGATGTTAAACCCATATGATAAAAATTTCTTTCTGGATTGGATTCAGTTTTTACAGATTAACAAGAAGTCAAGATGGTAGCCTCAAACTCTTCCCAGGTGCCCAAGAACGTCAAGTGCTATCTTCCCGAGATCTCGCCTCATTTCCAGAGCGAATACTTGAAAAAGTCTCATTTAGTGGTTTCGCCATTGAACATCATCTGTGTCCTGATGTCAACGATTTTAAACTTCCTCGTCGTGGTCGCTGTTTACAGGAAGCGCCGTCTTCGTCGGGGATCAGGGCTGCTTCTTTGCAGTATTAACCTGAAAGATTTACTCTTGGTGTCTATTCTCCAGCCAATGGCTGTTTATAGGTCATTCTTCTTGGTCTTGAATAACAACTTTTGTGCTAAGTCGCCGATTGAAGGCCTGAGGTCCTATCTAATTTTCCTGTACCGTAGCGTTGCGCTGACAACGATGGCGCTAATCTCCTTCGACCGCTGGCTTGCGATACACCGTCCCTCCTACTACAGGACGTTCTTCACAATGAAGCGCACTATTGCTTCGATTGCACTTGTGTGGTTGATCAGCATGTCTATAAGCTTCGTTGCTACCTATGTCRTTCAGCCCAAACACCGCTACCAGCTTGTGTTCATCCAGTTTGGTGTGACAATGGTGATTGTTGCTGTCCTTCAGCTCGACGTCTACCGAGGGATCAAACAACATGGGAAGAAAGTAGCTGATCTCAGCACTTCACAGCAGCGACAAATCRCCTTAGAACACTCAGTTTCCATGGTTGTTTTCTACGTCATCCTGGCGTTGATTATCTGCTACTTCCCACTTCTTGTCGTGTCCGCCATTCGATTCTCCAACAACAAGAACTACTTCTTGATAACCAGCCCGTGGATGGAGATGATACTATACGCCAATGCGGTAGCAAACCCCATCATCTTACTCAAGACCAACGTTCATTTAAAAAGCGCAGTCGTGGACGCGGTCATGCAGTGGTTATCTCCTCGTTTCTATGACAACGAGTCTGTAGATGCCAGTGGCTTGCAAGAGAGCAGAGTTGCTGTCTCTGTCGTCAGGACGAAYGGCCAAAATGGCGGGAACCAAAGTCGCGGAGAGCGGCGGATGACTGTCCAGGAAAACTAAGAAACTGAATTGGTTTGACAATATATCTAGACAAGCAAAGTACTAAAACACGCTTTGAACTAATTTATTATTTTATTTATCTATTAGCTTTGTAACTAGTACTTATGAAAACAAAAAGAAAAGAAAGAAAGAGAGA